CCAGCACCCCGGGCGGGCACCCGGGCGGCACCCGGCAGAGCCCCCGCCTGCACCCAGCCCGTCTCTGCTCCCGCACGGGTTTGCGGCTTCCGCTTTTCGGCCGCGCTCGGGACTGGCGCTGAGGTTTCTGCCTGCAAGGCCCCGTTCGTGGCGGGAGGATGATGGAGCGAGCGTGTGTTAGTGAGTGTGGCTAAATCTCTCCCGAGAGGGCTGCGTGACTGCTCTGCATTAAATTCCCCCGATGCTGCGTGAGGTTTTGGATGCAGACAGGGCAGGGGGATACTGGCTCGTGCAGATGGAATAAACAGGATGTGAAAATGCAAATCGAGCCACGCTCGCCGGGGCTTCCTGGGAGGGAAGGCAGTTGTAGGAGGGAAAAACAATGCATTTGCATTGTGCAAGTTTTCCTTTGGGGTATTTCTCCTCAAAGGCCACGAGTCTGCTTTTGTGGGACTTACTGCTTTCAGTGACTTCATCCACAGATTGCCACGTAAGTGAAAGTTCATCTCCTCGTTAGGTGCAAGTTTCACATTACAGTCGATAGAAATGACGTCAGAGTTACTGTGGTTCTGCAAAAGAAGAAGTTTACGTTCTGGTAACGTCACTGTCGAACGTGGCTGGGCTCAGCTCCTCCTCTACCCGTGCAGGATTAAACATATCCTGCACTGCCCTCACTACACAGCCAGGAAAAGAAAAGACCCTGCCGGCTGGCTCTGCTTTTCCTCTCGTTGCACACCCTGAGAAAAGGGGGAGAGGAAAATCTTGTGAGCGAAAGGGAGGATCAGACATCAAGCCTTAGAGATTGGACTTCAACCAAAATCCCAGGCGTGAGCAGCCTCCGAGTTTGTGTGGGAGGAGAGCCAGGGGTGAAGCTGCAGCTGGGCTTCGAGCTCCTCGATTTTTCCTGCCTTGACATTTGCTCCCTCGCTTTGCGTGGGCAGAACCGGCCCCTTGCAGCGGCAGGAGCCGCACGGCCCAGCACCAGGCACCGGCATCCCAAACCGGCCCTCTTGGCGACGGCTGACGCCTTGTTA